GGTTCATTTCTTTTCTTAATCAATACTCACACTTTAAATCTGCAATTAGTTCCTGGGAATATTTTGCAGCTTCTTTTGTTTCCCTTTACTGTCTCCGCTGTTCTTCTCCAGCTTTGTTAGAAATCATGGTTTCCTGGTGATGTCTGTTGATAAGTAAGTGTATCACCCAGTTTCTAAAGAAAAGAGGTTGAAGCTTTGGTTTTTTTCTTACTGTATTTAATATCTACATTTTAAAAATTAATTTCTGCATTTACTATCTCTCTGACAGATGATCATTGAGACCTTAAGTTATGATTTGAGATGATTATATGTGTGTATGGTGAACAAGTTGCCACTGAACTCTCGAAATTAAACTCCAGCCCACTCCTGCAATGCAGACATCTGTGAGCTGCTGTAGTCACAAGCCATGATGTTTATAAAGTGCGTGACATCAAAGCATTTAAGGAGGGTGCACACGTCTCGTGGCAATCTCAGATGGGGAAAGGATTAAGGAAGGACTGTACCACAGAGCTCTAGGAGACCTGAAGCAGCGTAAAGGAAATGCCTCTAGAATCCTGAAGAGAGAAATCTAAGAAATGGTCTGTAAAGTAGGGAAATAAATGAGGACGATTAAGAAGACTTGGCCAGAGCTTTGTTTACCTCAAAACATGCCGATCTATATTGTGCTTCATTGTTTAAATTGCCTTTCATCTGATTTTCAAGTGATACTGCTGCTGTTTTATTTCTAATCACTCCAACCATCTTCCTGTAACCCATTTACAAGTGATGCTGTTACCTGAGGATTGTCATCTGGCATGTTGTTCCTTAAGGCACACCATTGTGACAAATCAGTCAAACGGAAGGATTCAAGATGAAAATGCCGTATCTTGACATGTAAGGCATGAAGCTGGAAAAGAACAGGAGGTTTGCAAGACAAATTTATAGGGTTTGATATATGATTGTCTTTCTGTGCTTCTTAGCGATTCTGTAAGGAGCCATCATGGCATATGAAAATATATTGATCAAATGAACCGTAGGCCTCATCCAGTGCAGCTCCCCAATTTTCTGACTAGGCATGAGATGGATTAAGACAGGAGATGATTGAAGGTTGGATTGCTTTTTGCTACAGTAGTGGTAATCCGCCGGATATTGACAGTACCGACACTCACATATGGTAAAAGGGGAATTTGGCCCCAGAATTAAGCTGGTATGCTATTTGCCATGGAACAGTCAGAAGCAGACACTGATATCCTGAGTTTCGTCACTGCTGAAAAAAGGCAGACTCTCAAGGATCACATACTGTAGGAGACAGAATTGATGCCTGAAATATGTGCATCTCATATATAAGCAGTCATCAGCACAAAGCTTTCCATCTGAAGCTGCTGCAGTGTGTGAACTCATCAAGTAAACTCATTTTGTAGCTATCGTTAAGATTGATCTTGGGTTCCACCGCCATCCTTTTTGGCCCTTTAATAAATACAGCCTTTTAGCAGGCCTTTCTGTGCAAGTCTAATGACTTGAAATCTCAGCATCAGTCAGTTTGACAAGGATAGAATGTGAAACTGCCTCCTGGGCACAAGAAAATTATGCAGATAAAAAGTCTCTGCTGGAAAATTACCAGTAGTCCAGAAAACACCATGAATCTGTCTGCAGAGAGGAGTCTGTGTCAGTGTTCCATTACCAATTCCATTAAATACTCAAATGGTAATACTCAGAAACTAGTACATCGATTTCTGTCTCTCTAATGAGGAAAAAAGTCATTTAATTTGTACTATTTTTTTTCCATAAAGTATCTTTTTCAACAGGTTTGAAGGGTGTTGTCACAGTACATTCTCCCAGAGTAAAAGTGAAGTTAAGCGTTCTGTTTTTATGTGATCCAGATTTTTTGGATCCCCCACTTGAAAAGCTTCAGCACAGAGCTTTGAAAGCGCTGGGTATTTGCATTTTCAGATTCAGCCGAGGAGATCAGTCGGCATGCAGTGCCTCCAGAAACTGGGCCTCAGCTGCCTCACGGTGCCTCCCCAAAATAGGAGCCCTCGTGAAAAATGGATGCTTGAGTGAGTCACTTGAGATCAAAGCAGCAGGCAGAAAGGGAGGTGAGGCGGAAACCAGATCTTCTGACTGCTGCTGTCTGGTTCCAGTGATGAGATGATCTGCTCCTCGGAAAGCCAGCCGCTGCAGCCGTGACCTATTTACTGACGTAGTTTGCTTCCATTAGCTCCGTTGTTATTGTTCTGTTGTTTTAATTAGTGCCATCTCAAGTAAGTGGCTGGCTCTATAGAAAGGTCATTACCTTTCTGAACTTTTACTCTGTAAAAATTACGTTGCTACGGAGATGATACCAGAAAATTAATCAGTCGGTTCCTGTTAGGCCTCCAGACACTGCATTCAGTTGCTTAGCTGCTGGCCAGGCACATCTTGGCTCAGAAGATGACTCACACCATTAGTGGAACTGAAAGCAAACACTGTTCAGCCATGGCCGAACCCCATATGATAAGTACAAACACATTTTGGAGCAATACCAGCTGTAAAAGACACTAATTCTAAAGGGGAAAAATAGGAATACATCCTCTTCAAGAAGAATTGGGATTATCTGGTAAAATTTTCTTAATTATATATGTAGATCTCCATAAACATGAACAGGCTTACAGAGAGAACGCTGTTACACAGGAAATACGGCTGCTTGTGAGATCTTGAGATTGAGGTTGGCGTGCCATGCAGCTAGTAGGAAGCTTCAATATTTCTCCTATAAAACGTAGTCCTCATTAAAAGGCTGTTCATATAAACCTGCCCATACCTTTGCTGTTAACATGAAACTTTGTAAATATAATACTTTTGTTATCATATTCAGTCCAGCTTCAGTTACAAAGCTTGGACAATTAGTGCTGTATTACACTTCATACACAGATGTAGCTGTTCAAGGGATGTGGCTGGAACACAATGCATATTGCCATCTTACTGTACTTGACAAGACAGTCCTGTATATTAGCAGTCATATGTTGAACTAAAACAAGATTGTTAGCCAGATCAAAAAGCACAGGGAAACTGTAGAATTTCTGGTGGGGTCTGTAGGAGTAATCAAATGAATCCCATTCCCTTCAGAAGTACCTCTTGGATGTGGACACCATAGTCCATCAATCATCAAACTATCATTATGCAGATATTTGAAGACATGTAAGTGGGTTATAAATCCTTCTTGTAGTAGAGCCTCGCTGTGAATTTAGTTGTGGAAAGTGGTTCTTTTTTTCCTGCTAATACAGGTTTAATGCATCAGCACCCAAATGTGAGCACCCTGGGGACAGAGCCCGACAGGCATTCACAAATCAGTGTGCTTACATATGTGTGCCATTTTAAACATTTGAATACTTCTTCATATTTTAACATCTACTTGTAAGCCTAATTTACTAGATTTTGCCTGATTTGATAGATTTTGCTGGACATTTATGCAGTTGTATGAATTAGTGGAGAATAATGTATTCATTTGGATTTAGAAAGGGCTTTTTAGTGAATATATTTACATGATGAATACCAGGTTAAAGTTCTGCTTTCATTAAGATGTTTTAATGAAGCACAATGTTCTTAGCTATGTAATCTTACCCTAAAAGCTGCGCTTTTTGCAACAGAGAAATCTTTATATTCCTGCCAGAATATTAGTATGGTACTGATTCAAGTTGATAAATAGAATCTTAAGTTCAGCTGAAAGAAATGTTTACAGCCTTCACAATAAGTTCTGGATCCAGTGATAGTAAGGCATCAGTGCCACCACTGTAACACCAGTTTGTTTTTTCTCTTTATCACTGTGTCTGAGGCAGTTTGTAACCCTGCCCAGACCTGCTTAGGTCATAAGACAAGGTCACAAATCAGATTAAAATAGTTGCACACACACAAAAAAACAAACAAACAAAGAAAACCACCACCAATCCAATGTGATGTAGAATTGACAGGTTGCAATTGGGCAGCTTGCCTGCAAAAACTGCTTACATTTCAGTTTTATGTAAACAACAAAACATAGATGATGCAGGCAGACAGGATTATGTTGCTTCTCATCAAATGCCAGGCAGAATTGCTCATGGTGAGCTGCCATGAGAACTGTGCTTACTGAGGAAACAAATCCTTACATTTCAGTGCTGAGCAATCTCTGATAGAAAAACCCATTTCTAGCTGATGGATAAAATGGTTGGTCCAATACCTAAGACAATCTAAAATATTTACTACCCCTGTAATATCTATTCTGTTACCACATCTAATACTGAATACTTCAGCCACTTACACAAAGGGAATATTGACTGAGAAAATATGACAGTTATGAGGTTATCCATACTGTGGATATTTATTGTCTTGCATAGGCATTTGATTATTGTATCTGAAAAATACATGTTGATGGAAAAGTGCTTTTACTTGAGTTCAGCCCTAAAACTAGCATAGAAAAATATTTGCTAGATTTTAGGTGATTTTAGGTTTTTAGATTTGCTAAATTTTGGATGTATACGTGGCCACTGCCATCCACTGGGTTTTCACTTAAATGCTTGACCTTGGGAACTCTGAAAATCAGTTCAGTTTAAGCATTTATTTAATCTAAATATCATTTTAAACCTTTTATTAGAGATGCAGTATGGGAGAATAGGAGAATATTATGCTAGCAGGATGAACTACATATTTCACAGTCTGGATACTAAGCCCTTTCATTGCTTTTACCTGAGTAAATTGCTAACAGACATTGCTATATACGTTTTGTGACTGATGTGATTTAAAAAGTAACTCATATCCACACTTTTACTCTGTTTATGCATACTGGCCATATTTGGTACTCCTATTGTCATGGTTTAGTACTTTTCCTCGCTAAATATTAATCAAGATTTAGTGTCAGCTCTGCATTAATTCATCAGAGAACAGAATGAAGACTGTTCTTACGGAGTTCTACTCACCATTGAAACTGGTGTAGTACAGAACATAGTATAGTTTCTGTATCATATCTGATGAAAAATGACTGGAGTTTGGTTTCCTTTTGCCTCCATTTCTAGAAAACTTAGATACAATGATAGCTGTGCAGACAAAGAAGAAACTCGAGAATCCTTCCACTAAAAGCAAACCAAAGCAACCAGCAGGTACTAATTCTATAATTTTCTCTCCTGAAAAACTGCTGTTTAACAACACATTGTTCAATCCATTCAGTTAAAAACTGGTAAATTGCATCAGAATATAGACTGTTAATTAGAGATATTGTCTCTCAAGGGCCTGTAGCGACAGTGTTGATGTCTAAATGACAAGAAGAGAAGAATTTTTGCTTAAGTGTTCACTTTGGGAAGTACATTCACATGAACTCCCTTTTCTTCAGTGAAGTCCAAATGTTGCTCATATACAAAAACAAGCCATACGATGCTTTTAAAGAGTCAGGTAAAAAAAAATTCTTTGTCAACTTTGGATCTGGTGAATGACAAATTTTCTTTTTTTTTCTGCACAAAGAATGTGCCCTCATGATCTACATATTATTGTATTTTAATTGCCTGTATTCAGCTGCTTTTTAAAGAGCAGACACAGACATTCAGGAGGGATGGGGTAGATTTGATCTTTAGAAACTGATTTGAGATGGTGTCCAATAGATTTATTCCTCAATCACCAGTCATAATGTTTTACTTCCTAGAGATCATACTCACATAATGTAGAAATGCTTTTGGAATGTAGGATACAAAATTAATCTTATTTTTGTTTTCTTAGACAAGAGTAGTGAAGAAGCAGACAGTACGAAGGAGGAAGCAGCTAAAATGGAGAAGGAATATGAAATCTCAAAGGATTCCACAAAAAATGAAGAACAAAACCCAGCAGGAAACAGTGAAGAGCCCAGAGGTACAAAATAGCCATTGTTTTTGCTATACGTGCCTGAAGTGATTAGCATCTTTTCTTATCTTTGGTGTTACTTTTCCATTAAAAATATATTCAGTTTCTGTGGCATCCAGCACAGCTCTCAAATACCTACATACTTTCTTTTGTGTCTCTCTCAGTTTGTAGTAGAAATAATCTTTAGAAGTGGTTTGTGTGTAAGCTTATAAGAAAAGAGGTCATTCATTCTATGTCTGTGTGTGGATGAAGGGCTTACTGAGAGAAGGTGAAGTTGGAGAAATTAGTTTGGCAAGTACAGAGTGTAGCTTCAAACTCAGCCATATCTTTTGACAGGGTGGGTTCCATAGTCTGGATGCACCTCCAGCGTATGCTCTTGCTTATGTACTCAAAAACCTTCATGAGAAACTTACTGACCAGACTTGGAGGGCTTCCTTAAGAAGGGAAGTACAGACAGGAGATTTGTCAGGCTGAACTTGTGAAGGAGGTGTGTATGTTAGGGCAGAGGCCTTTCAGTGGGTTCTTATTGCTAAGTATCCAGCATCAAGATTTATTTTTGTTTAAAAACAAACAAAAGAGCAGTGTAACCTGCTTTGAACTGCTCCTTTCATGGTTTGCATGTTTCCACTGCAAGTTGTTCAGTGACGAATCACAGTTCTCAAGGCTACAGATTATTGTCCACGTTGCATGGTTCCACCCCATGGGCAGTGTAAACTTACAAATTATTAGCCAGTCACGGATGGTGGAAAACATTTTTTCTGACAGTGGTGAAAATGAGCAGAAGAGAAAAATATCTGAAGGTGGCAGTCCAATTTCACAGTAAAGAGAAATTGTCTCAGTACCCATGGGAAGTGATAAATAGCATGTTTACCTTGTCTATCGAAGATTTATCTGTGCAGTTTGGTTCAGGTTATTTTATTTTACCTTCAGAAAAAAAAATCCAGCCTCTTTAGACATTGAAGTTAAATCAATATTTGGTTCTTTGTCTCACGCAATATTCTATGCTCTTTCATAGAATAACTTCTATAAAACTAGCTCTGCACTCTCAGCTCAAATTTTGCAGTCTATCTGGTACTGTACCCCGTTACTAACGGTGTAACTTTCTACAGGTTAATCACAGTAGGTTTTTTTCCCTGACGAATGTTAGAGCATTACATCAATGCAGCTCCAGCCAAGTTAAGAATTCAAAATCCATTAGCTGGAATATTTCCTTAGGGGCTTTATTAGGTAATCCTGGAACTAATTCTATCGTGTGCGCTTTCTGGTCCAAAAATAGCCATACTTTAAAATTTTGGCTATAAAAAGGACTTATGATCATTTTAATGCTTTTAGTGCTTCCTTTCTCTCAGCAGGTGTAAGTAGCTGTATTTCAGCTTGTCTTTCCAAAACATTCACAGTGTTATATCCCTGATATGCTGTTAATACTGATGAATGAAGATTTCTGACACTTTGTATACAAGCAGACAGTCAGTGCTTTCAGTCTTATTAAATCAACCCCTACTGTCTTAACAGCTTCATTTTTGCTGAACAGTTGTTATGATCCAAAAGATAAAGCTTGCCTACAATTCTCATACATGATAGCTGGGGATGCCGCCAAAACTTATGCATAGAGATAGGAAAAAAAAAGACCTGATTCTACATTTGTTAGTGACTAATTTTGGCCAGATAAAACCCCGTAGCGTCTGCAGGAATTCTCAGTGACTAAGGTTGACAGGACTCAGCTTTTAAACAGAAACTAAGAATAGTTTTAATCTGCCTTTGCTGTAACCACCTTCACTCAGTTAAACAGCGTGCATCAATCATTGAAGTAAGTGCTTAACTTCTCTTATCCTTTTCTCTAGGAAAAGCTGAGGCATATTTGGAAGCAATCAAGAAGAACATAGAATGGCTAAAAAAGCACAACAAACAAGGTAACAAAGAAGGTATGAAGTAAAATGCAGCGTGTACATTGCAAAACATATAACTTAAATTGTATAACTTAGCATTGTATTACCAGTTAAATAATAGTAACATAAAACTGCATGTCTGCTGCAGTGATAGTGGGTTACCTTACAAGTTAACTCATAACATGACCTGTATTATTTATATCAATAAATGAAAATAGCAGACTAAGGCAAACTCTTGGAAACTGTCTTGAAGTGCCATTGCCCACAAAAAATACAGTGACTAATCTGGAAGGTATTCACATACCACCCAGAAAGATACTGCTGTCTACCTGTCACCAGCCAACAGTACGTTAATTACATCATTTCATTTCTTAGTTCAACATATCTTTTAATTATGACTTTGTACAGGAGATAAACATCTGTTTAAATGCCTGCATATGTCTAGAAAAGCTTGGTGCATCTGGCTAGCACTGTGCGTGCCATCACAAATAGCAGTGAGATTTGATTTATAATTGTGAATTAAATAGTTAAAATACAAACCTATGTCACTAGCACTGTATTACATTGGATTGCAGCCCAAATCTAAGCTAATGACCTGTGTCTCTCACATGCAAAGCTGTGTAGAAGGGGAGCACTGGCTGAAGCAGCTGCACAGGGTCTGCTCACCAGCTGCTCCACCATTTGACTCTTCCTCGGAGACATGGCTGTGTGAGAGCTGGAGGGAGGAGTCCAACAGCAGCAGGATTTCTAGCTTATTTTTCACAGGCCTTTATTTATCTATATCATGTTTTCCCTCAAGATCCTTTGTGAAACCAGCCTCTTACCCTCTCTTTCTGCTGTTGCCGGGATTTCTGCTGTCACCCGCTCTGTAAGTGACGGTTCCTAGCTAAGGGATCCATCCCTCGGGTATGAGTGGAGCCTGGCGAAAAAAATCCTTCATGTGCCAGCCGAGCAGAAGGGGATCTGAGATAAGATTAGCCCTGGGTAATCTAGCCTCCCCCTCTGTGAGCCATAGTGTATATAAATCACATTTCAGAGACAAGGGCATGCCTACAGCCCAGCACATTCATTTTCCTATACAGAAACTCTGTACTAGGAGGGACTTTTTCTTTCAAGGCTACAGTTATTTTTTCCCATCTTAAAACCATTTCCACACAATAGCAACAACTACAGTTGTGCTTTTTTGCTCAAGATTTCCTGCCACTTCAAATATATATGTCTGTTTTAAAAAAGTGATAATATAATAATCAGCTCTCAGTCACACGTCATTATTTCTCTGTATCACACGTACTGACAGGGCAGCCCCTAACCACTGCTCGTCAGTTTCCTTTCATCTCGTGCTGCTGCAGCCTGAAAATGGCTGTGCAGATCGATAGCGTTTTATCTGCTTGGAAATGATGTTAATACTTCCAGAAAATGGATCCATTGGGTTAGTGCTGAATGCATGGCTTTCTGTGTAAATGGATTTTCATCTACACTAAAATATCTCTACTGTCCTCTGGCAATGGAAATGAGCCTTAAAGTGAGTGTAAGTTATGACCAAATCAGAAAACACTCCTTAGTCTTCCCATACATCATAGTTATTGTATTTTTTCCATAATTGTCATTTTTGTAAAATGCTAATTCAGTTCTCCTGCAGTGATGATAAGGGAAGTACAGTCAGTGCATGCATTGTTGTGTTCCTTCAGTACAAGATTAGGTGTTATTTATGTGCCCATCAATCACTTCTCTACTACCATCTACCATCCGGGAGCTGGCAGGAGAATGATTTACAAAGTAATTCATGTATTAAAAGAGCCACGCTTCTCTATTTTACGCATGGATTGTTTTACTCCCTGCATATATTTAAATAGGTTTAGGTTTTTTTCAGGCAAGTAGACCATTACATGAATTTCAGTGGAAGTTAGAATTCATTCAATGACTGATGACCTTAGGAAACATTTATTTGCAGTTTCCCAGTTTGAAAACATCAGTTGTCTCATTAGAAATCAAGTTATCTTCAGTGGCCTGGCTGCATGAAAGAGAAATGTGCCACGGGCCCAAATTTTGGCCTGTCTTTTGCATCCAGAGTTTGTCTGCATATACAGACAGAACAGAACCCTGTCCCTCTGATGCTCTGGGTCTGTCCTTACTGTCTCCCAGAGCTAGCTTGACCTGTGAAACCTGTGCTCTTTAAAGCGCAGCTCCGCGCTGGTGTGGAAATAACATCTCTCCCAGCGCTGGGTGTGGGCCGCTGTGTGTGCTGTTACGTGGTTGTCTCCAAAGAGCGCAGCTGTGACTCACCTCTCACGTGCACATAGCACGATGGGGTTTTTCACAGAATACTGAGGGAGTTCCACCACACTAAGAGTTGCCATGGGAATAAAAGTAAACTCTGCAATTTGTTGCAGGATGCGCAGCAAACGGCTGGATTTGAATGTGCAAATAAGACCTCACTTTATATACTGTAGCCGTTTCAACAGCTCAGTGTAATGCTGCAGCTGTTGTTATTTATCTAATTACTTGCACAAATTAATAGCCTGTAAATAAGCGTTAGAAATTAACAGACTTAAAAAAAAAAATCAGATTAAATTGCCATGAAATACACAAATTAGCCAGAATTTGGTATCTTAATGGTTGTAATCTCATGCAGATTGTATTTGAAATTCAACTTTCGTATATCTCTTTAATGATGGAGTTGTTAATACTGCTATAGAAAAAAAAAAGCCTAGGAATTGTAATGTGGGTAATTTGGATGTTATATTAATTTAGTATTTGTCATTCTATTCATTTCTATTCCACAATTCCATGGTGCTTTTTACTGTCTCATATCAACCTGGATCAAATCTCACAACCTTGTTCCTAAATTGCTATTTCATGCCATATTACTGAGATAAGATGAAGTCACAAATGAGTTAAGTTTTCTTAAGCCCATAACAAAGTGAAAGTGAAATCCTGGCCTCAGTACAGCAAATGGCGAAATTCCTGCTAGCTCAGATATGGAGAAGATACCCCTGAAGCAGTGGGGAGCTTTGAATGTGTTTTCTGAATTAGTCACTTTTAATTGCCTTATGCTGTTTTTAAAAAGACCACAAGCATAAATTCACTTATTTAATATTTTTCTACTTCTACACATTCTTGGCCACTTAGCTATAAAAAGTCAGAAAAATAATGTTCTGTTTTGATAACAACATTGAGTTTGAAAGCAAGTCCTTCCATGTATTGTTATACGGTGAAATGCATTGGGTTGCATTACAAAATCAGTACTAATATAATATATACTGAAATATTCAGGATGAATCTGGTTTTGTGAAAGATATTAATTCATTTAACTTGGTATAAAGCCCTAAGACATCAATGTTTTCCAGACTACTAAGTTGTGATTCTAACAAATGAAGCTTTATATTCTGTTCACGGGAAACAGGGACATTTTCTACCATAGGAAAACACATTTGATGTATAGATGATGAATCATGCTGCACAGATGCAACCATCTATCAGAAAAGCAGAAAGAATTTTCCTGTGCTGTACTGCAGATTGACATACAGACTCTCTAAGACTTCTTTGACAGTAACACTGTCGTGAAGTCTACTCTGCAATACTTTTCAAATCAGGATGGTATATTCTGTATCGATGTAAATATTTATGTTGTTGCCATTTAGTTTCAGGCAGTTAATTTCCTGAGTTTTCTAAAAAGCCCATATTTGGTGCAGGTGTCTGCAATAAGTGAGGATTTTACTGGAAACAGTCCGTGTAATACTTCTGATTTGAATCCATGACAACTGTGAAAATAATAGAGCTTTAACACCAGCTTTCACATGCACACTAGAGCACCAGAGCTCTGAACCAGAAAATATTCTTACTTGGGCATTTACCATCAAACAAGCAAGAGCAAGAGATGACTATTACTCTTGAGTAGTAAAACCGCCAAGAGGTGGAAGAAGACTTTGTGTGGGTGGTTCTCTTTTTTACTGCTTCACAAGCTGTACTTGTGGTGAATTCCCTTTGCCTTAGATAAGTGCCTTTGTGGGACTGACTTTGCAATGGCACTGTTCTTCAGTGGAGCAATATTATGGGTATAACATTGTGTAAATTAATTCTTATTTTTCAGATTATGATCTTTCAAAGCTGAGAGATTTCATTGATCAGCAAGCAGATGCATATGTGGACAAGGGCATCCTGGACAAGGAAGAAGCGGATGTAATTAAGCGCATATATGGCAGCCTGTAAAAAGCTGGTGGCTGCCCACCATGTAGAAAACTAGTGTAGCTTTCCCCCGTCCCAGCTCAATGACTTATGGTCTGTTGTTTTGAAGGTATCATTAGAAATTCCTTTACATTACTGATAACTTTTTAGGAAAGGAGAGCTATAGTGCTCTGTACACTGACTGCATACTGTATTTTCCTACACTCGCAAATCAAATCTAAACACCAACTTCTGACACCGACTTTCTATTTGACAGGGTAAATATTTACGTAACGCTCTCTTTGATTTGTGTTTGGTTTACTTGGTAGATAAGCCTACCATTTCTGATGGAGAAGTCTTTTAATGCTACACCTTTTTGCTCTCATTCCCTAGCTTTCTATAGATGCAACTATGTAAAGGGCATTATTAGGAAATAGTTCATAGATCTTTAAATAAAATATTTGAAAATAATTTACCTATTAAAGTTCTTATCAATCTTAATATTTCACATCCAGAGATCTTGTTTTAAAATCCTAATAGCATGTCTTTTGTTGACTTTTTTCTTTCTTTTGTGTAGTATTCTCTAACTTGGAGCACAGTGTCATGAGCTAATGGACTCATCTCTGACCCTACAACTGCCTTTCTTTTTAAAGAGCTCCGTTCTCCCCAGTGGCTTCATTCAGCATGTGTTAAAGTTCTCTTTAGTGCACCATTTTGTCACTTTGCATGCATTAGCTGGATTCCTATGTCAGTAGTCTGATAACAAGTGTAAATAACCATTACTTTCTTATTTAAAAAAAAAAAAAAAAGGAAAGCAATTAAAGCCATTTTGCAGGGAAGTAATTTGCAACTGGAGGTGCTTTTAGAAACATGAGCCCTGTTTTTCTGAAGGACTGGATGAACCCATCAGATCTCAGCATCTCTGAATATCAAGTCCACGGTCTGCTTACTGACTTGGCTCTGTTTTTAGTAGTACCTATCATGCTGAAAAACTATTTTGTCACATACTTGCTGTCACTAGGCAATTAGTTGGTACCCAAAGGGTAAAAAAGGGAAACAAGAATTCCACTCTTCCTCAACTTGCAGAGTTTGCGAAGAATGGCGTGAGAAATCTTTTCACATTTAAGTGAATGGATGATTCTATTCCTGAAGAACTCACAAAGTAAGAGCAGTGAAGGAAGACTTAGAGTACTGCTGCATAGCACACAGTTCAGTAAGCACTAAATAGGCAGACCAGTTCCTTTCCTATTCCTTCAGCACAATTGGACACTGAGGAAGATTGGAACAACGTTTCACAGCCAACTTAAGTAAACTTTGGCATCCTTGCAAAACATAAATCATCAACTGAGCATCATCAATAGAACATTGTTGGTAATAAACATTGAATGAATGTGATAGCAATGAGGTGAAACAACATAGCTCTTTGAGAGCAGATGGCATGTAAGCTAATGAATGCTTCCTAGCATCCAAAAAGTACATCTTGGTATGGATCACCAAATTATAGTATCAGTCACTACCTGTGATATTTTTGTTAAAACAGTATTCAAAAGTGTAGCCAAAGCAACCTTATGGATAGTTTGTAAAATGCAAGGTTTCTTTTCCCATCGATATAATGTGTAGTATAATAATATTTTAGTTTTGTTAGAAGTTTGTTTCTCTCTTTGGCCTCTGAGGCGTCAATGCAGGAGTCTGGAACTAACAGAAAGACGTCACGTAACATCAACCTGTGATTATAAAACTGTTTGTGTCTACAAAGTCTGGTCCAATATTTTTAACCTCTCAATTTGCCAAATGTTACAACTTCAACAAAATGCATATGACATCATTTACCAAAAAAAATCCAAACAGTGTGTATGACCAATCCCAATTCAGAGTATCCATATTCCTGAGCCTGTTTAGTGCTTACCCTGCTGCTCTGTAAACTTAAAACATATGTAGACACGATTCCACCAACACAGTGTCTAGCTGAGAACTGATCAAGCCCTCTGATGTTTAGGTAAGCAATCCCAGCAATGGTTCTTCAGACAAGATTCACTTCCCATCCTGCCAACCCCAAACATTTAACTTGTTATTTGAATGCCTCAAATACTGGTTTGATTGTACACCAAATGAATATCTATCAGTTACTCACCTTTCAGAACTGAAAAGTAAATGTACAGCCAGCCTGACAAACCACCCTGCATTTCTGAAAGGCTTTGATTTACACTAAATAAAATTAAATGTAGTGACTTGAGTTTCAACTTGCACTACAGCCCTTACTAGTCCTTATTTTGAAGGCATGCTAACACTGGACATCTGCTGTTGGGTATTTAATACATAAACCATAAATCATATTCTGTCAGTGCTTTCCTTTTTCCTGGTGAGAAAGGTATGTTCAACACTTGCACAACCCCAGCTCTAAAATGAGAAAAAACAGTTTCTATGTTGTTTGTATCTCTGCCTGATCCTTCAGAAAACCTTCACTCTCAGAATTATCACTGAAAATGTAACAACATATATGGTATTCACGTTTTAAGTTTTTCTATTAAACTACTGTGTCTGATATTGTACTTTATTAAACACTTTACTACAAGCCATAGTAGTATAAGGCTGCTTTTGTGCGTTAAGGAGAGAGCATCTTTTCTATCCAGTGCCCAGCCTTTGGATGAGGCCTTGAGTACAGAGCAACAGGAGTTGTTCACTAATGGCTGCAGAAAGGGGAAAGCCCTTTCTGAGAACACTGAGGGGAACTGCAGAACCTGATAGCTGAGTCAGTTGGGCAGAGAGGTTTAATAGGCTCCAGCCACATTGCTAATGGATTCCAAACGAAAATGTTTTATCAAGTATGTCCCACATTTCTTTAAAAACATTTAGTTCAAATCTGCCCAAGACTTCTCAGGCTTTAACTCAAGAAATTTATCAAAGCTACAGATGTGCAGGTTTGTCCAGTTGAGCAGCTGCAAAACAAGGAATATAATCTGCACTGTGCACTTCCCTTCTGCCTGAAATTCAATCCCTGTGACTGGTAAAAAAAAAAAAAAAAAATAAATATATATATATATATAAAAATAAGCAAAAAAAAAGAAAAAAAAAAAAAAGAAAAAAAAGTTACAAGCGTAGGAAGATTGAAGATGGAGTGAAAAACAAAATATATAGGTGTAGGGAAAATGCTAAGTCATGGCTTGAACCAGTGATTGAGCACCTGGGGGGAAGGCAGGGCCAACCTAGGGGAGCTTAGGTGCATGCAATGAAATGCTCCTGAGTGACTGAAAGGAGTGCAGCCAGGATCCACCCCTTCCCAGACCTCATTTAAGGTTTGGAAGTGGAGATGAGAGTATTTTGCTAGAGATCCTTACTTACCTGAGGTCTTCTGAAGGTAAGCAGCTACTTTCCTCTATTTCCTTCCTTTTGGCTGTTGTGTTTGAGCTAATCCTTACTTGTAGCCTGGGATCTTGCTGCTGTGCTTTCCATTGTATTACAACAAGAAAGGCCAAATAACAGTTATTTATGGAGTAGAAAGACTCTATCTTTAATTACTCTTTCAATATTGCAGATATGTTGTTTCCAGGCATTGCTTTTCTTGGGCTGGCTGCTCCTGGTCAATGCTCAAGCAGGCACAGGCTGCTCAGAGCAGCCCTCTGACTTGCCAGCACCACTGAGGAGAGCCAGCAGAGCTCTTAGGGCTTGGCTAGACCCAGCTGTGCTCTGCAGGCCCTGTGGCCTGCTAGGAGGCCCAAAAAGTCATAACAAATACTCTGTCCCATGGTTGGCTGCGTGGAATACTCTGGTTTGGGAACTCAAGTGCTGAAGACGTGTTCTTGTGGAGGTGAGGCCTGTTCCTGCTGAGCTGAGGAGCAGCACTCGCCCTGGGCTGTGGCTGGTGAGGTAAGGCCTCCTGCGGTTGCTGCTGCTGTTAGCGGTTGTGTTGAAGTTCCCTGTGGGGTCTGCATTTGTGTGGGACAGAGGGGCTGGGTGACCCTGCTGAGCTATGTCAACGGGGGCTGTGCTGAACGCTGCTGTGCTGAGGCTTCCTGTGAGAAGAAGCCTCGTGGGTCAGTCGGGGCGCTGCTGTGGCCTCAGCTGGAGGCCTGACCGAAACCTGAGGGGATGGTGCCTGCCTGTGTTTCTGACCCGTTTGACAAAGTGCCTCAGTGCTGTGGGCTGGACAGGAGAAGGTACTGGAACTGCAAGTCTTCAGAAGGAAGAGCTTAATTTTTTTTTCTGAAAGGTTACAAAATATTTCCAGACCTTAAACTGGGACTTCTTTGAAAAAGTTTATTCTGGCTCTGGGAATGTCCTACTGGAGCTAACTGACAACAGCTGAAATGAGCGTCTCTAAGCGACAATCACAAATATCTACTGCAATTTTTGTAATTGATTTTAAAGCTCTATCGCTGGTTTCTTTAAAGGCTAGTGCTTTCTTTTTCTTTACTCTAAAGTTCCCTAGTTTCTTGGTAGCTTGTATGACAGTGCAAATTTATACAACGTCAGTGTTAAGAGAGAACCTGAATGAGTTTGCTGGGTGTGAATTACTGTAAGCTCTGTGGGAATACCAATTCACATTTTATTTCAAGGTGTATGGGAATTTTTTGTTTGGGGTTTTTTTGGTGTGGCTTATTTCTAGTCTTAGTGGCTTTGGAGGCTAATAAAGAAATAGCATCTGTTGTAGCAGGGATGCAGCAATTCTTCACTGAAAAGATTTGTAAAGCTTATTAAATGACTAAGGAAAAAAATCTAGTATGATTAAGAAGTTGCTCAGCTACAGGACAAAGACTGAATGTGGTCTGCACTCCGTCTTCCTGAGATCAGGTGGGTCTATCTGCATACCTGAATACTTAAAATAGTGAAGGCTTGCCAGTGTTTATTGTTAACTTTAATGAAAGGTTTTGGTTGACTGTACAACTCATAGATCAAATAGTCATTAGGAGTCTCATTAGCAGTAAATATTTCTCATAAACGGTAAACACATGGGTTAAGAAATTCCTAGTACATAGAGCAGAGCTTTATATATGGGACCCTATTTGCCATGGAATTAGCATCTAACAGATAATGTAATTGGACAAGTCATTCTTCACAAAAGCCAGACTGGAATCAAGTTGACTTCATAATGAGCAAACACACTGGAATTTCTTTATTTATTAAATTAAAACCACACAATGTATCACACAAGAACACACATCTGATATTCCAATGCTGTATTTCACAGAGGAAAACTCTCTCGCTGTAACTCTTCCATTTTACTAGCAAAAATCTAGTTTGCAGACAGTTCATTAATGATAAAGACCTTAACTAATCAAAACAAGTCAAATACCCCTCTCAAGCAATAAACCAGTGTTCTTATAACCACACAGACACACAGTTCAGAGGCAAATTCTGCAGCCCTGAAGCAGACACAGCTTCCACAGCAAACTTGTCTGTGTCTGCAGAGTAAGTAAATTTTCATTTGATTTTTTACAAGCGAACTTATTTAACATTTTAAATACTTAAAACAAATTTCACTTTAACAAGTATTTACAAAATCTTTACTAAAGATCAACATCCTGCTTAAAGGGTGACCTCAAGGATATATTGTTGCTACCATGCTACAATTTGCACAGAAGGGGCATAAAGGCCATTGCTAGATTTGGAAGGCTTAAACCCTTTGTTGATATAGCATAAGGACATTAACCTACGGAAGGCAGAAGAGGTCAATTTCAGTGCAATTACCCATTCATGATTTATATAAAGTACATCATGACGATGAGTCCAAAAGACTTTTTTGAATTACTGACCACTTAGTTCTTTAAGAACTGATTTCATGGGAAGTTTTCAGGCTATCACATCTGTCTTCTACTGGTGATATGAAGAAGTTGCATAGGGACCTTCCTCATTCTCCTCCTCTCTAGAAAAAGAACGATCATAAGCATCAGATTAGGAACAGATATCATGCTTCAGCAGTAAAGTTGTCACAAAAATGCAAATAGCCAGTTTTCCTAGTGGGTCAAAATAGATGAGACTGGCATTTCCTAATAAGAATAACACTGTTGTATGCTACTGTTCCTTATGTATGTCTGGAATTCCCATTATTTTCAGAACAGAAAGTTGATAGTAAGTAAAGCTGAAAAAGTTCAACATCAGAACATGTACAGTTCAATGACTCTATACAGTATTTCTTATTTGGCACTAGTATGAAGGATAAACAAGTAGAAGCATGCTGAAGTTCCAGCACTGTTGCTCTCCATCTTTCTTTAAAAAAAGTCTACTTTTACTTACTGCCTTCTGAGTGGCAGAGGATGTGGAATGGGGCAAACAAGGCCATGATGGGAGCAGTCCATCAGAGCTGTAGCCATATCTGTGTTTTGTTGCTGCAAGGATATTTCCTGAATGAATCTGTTAATGTATACACCCTGTGTACCTATCAACATTTAGACTGATTGCTCTGATTTTTATTAGCAGAAAATAGTTGCCTACCATCTCTAGTGTAATGACTGCAAATACCAAAGTAGTGTTGCTATTACAAATTCTCAGGAAACTTCAATCTGCTTATTTTTTACTTGATTATACTGCTATTTTAAAAAGTTTGTATGAAAGCAATGCAGTGCAATGATCAGTGCTAATTCAAACATGGTGACCACTCTGGAGATCACTCTTTTTCGGAAGTATATCTTCAAGAACAGTTCAGTAACATAACTTTAGAGCTGCTGCCAATTCTGCTGCTTTTGTGAGAACAGACTTCTCAGTTGTTGCACTGTGAGCCTCACAGGATTTATTTTTAGTGTTGCATGTGCCTGCATGCAAAGATAAGGTTATTCACATAGCCCAATAATAGCACAAACTATACCAAACTCCATCGTGCAGACTTTCGTGGTACTTCTAAACATCATTAGCTACAATTCAAGCAGCTTAGTAAATTATGCTCATTTTCCCAATCCTTTCCTTTTTCTGAGTAGTGCAGCCAAAATCATCTTATGATACTGCTTTTATCTTGATGCAACTTGTTGAAAAAATTAAGCCTCTGAGAAAGCAAGGTTTTGGTTAACATGTAGTTACTGCAGGGCTGTGTGGTGATGGCAGAATCAAATAAACTAGCCTACCAAAGTAACAAGACCACAAAACTAGTCCAAGCTGTTCATCTCTGGTACAAGACTGGCATTTGGGTCACAGCCAACTCTGAGAGATTCCTGTATGTGGCAGGGACATAAAATAGGGGATTGCTTGAACCAACGCAGGGGGGAAAAAATCTTCTGACCAAGGCTCAGGTATACTGTGATAAGGGTTAGAACAGCTTCCAGCCTTTTATTTCAGGCTGCAGAACTGTGAAATACTACTATTGCAGATCTTTAGACCTGTATATAGTAAATGCGACTTATTACAGACGGTTTAAAAACAAAAAAAAGCTTTACGTGAAGGAAGATTATACAGCAGTAGCTTTGGTCCAGGGCCATAAGCAACAAGGCAGTGTGCATATGTTTAACAACTGAACAATTTTCTTCCTTCACTTTAAGATGCTTAAAATAGCAACGTGATAAGTCACTGCAACGTCCCCTTTCAGGAGAAGAAATGGCAAAACATTACAATGTTTTG